TATATACATGTATATACAACTTTTTGCATTTTTGGAGTCTTTTCAGATGTGTAAGCTGCTCATGGCAGGGGCAGTAATGTACCCCTATAACATAGGAGAGCCAGGGTTTTGAGCTATTAGCTGAGAACAGATTGGACGATCCCTCTACTCTTTAACTTGAGGATGTCTGGGGTTCTCAAAAATAAATATCAGATTTAAATCAGTCTGACCACAGAAAACTTCTTCATTTTTCTTCTGTCCATTTGAAATAATAAACTTTGGTCCAGAGAAGGCAGGGTTTACATACGGCTTCTTCTTTGCACGATAGAGCTTTAAACGGCCTTTGTTGATGTGGATGCAGTTAACCTAATCAGCTGCAAAATGCTGCTCCATTTGTTTCTTATTTAAACTACATAATTTTAAACTATTTAAGATATGTTGCTGCCATCAAATTCAAAGTGAACTTATTTTAAAGTGTTTATTATGTTCTGTTGTGAATAAAATATGGGTTTATAAATCATTTTCTTTTGTTTCTTTTTAAAATTCGATAAGTCTCAACTTTGTCAGAATTGGGGTTTTCGGTTTTAAAAAATAAAGGTGAACTCTAAATTCCAACCACTCAAACCGATGAGAGTTACAGGATTGTGCTTTCGCAGCTTGTCGGACTTGGCTCGGCCCGAAACCAGAAAAGGCATCCATCTGAAGAGTCAAACTCCTCTGTAATCAGGTTTTGGCCCGGGATATTGTCAAAGCTTTACCAGAGGAATGGGGTGACCTTTACACTTCTACCCAGTGAGAACTGACTGTATTTACAACATCCTGGTCATACAGCAGAGTCTGAGCACAAGAAACATACAAAAAGCTCTGTTGACATCGGCTAAAATAGCATTAGGATTTTATTTACATCTTCCCAGGCTGTCCCTTCTTGTATGGGGTGCCGTTTGTAAAGTTACACAGTCAAAAATTAGCACCAATATTTTTTTATTTAGCCTTTAATAAGAAAAAAAGAACAGATTTATTTTTCAAAG